AGATCGACCATTTTTCAAAATAGCATTGAATAAAAAAATTTGTCTTGATTCTGGTGAATTTAAGTTAATTTTATCAACTTGTTATGCTACTTTAGGCGTTGTTTCTAATATCAATAAAAAAATTAAATTATGTAAAGCAGGACGTTCACGTTGGTTAAATAAAAGACCTTTAGTACGTGGAGTGGCTAAGTGTGTAGGACTTGTCGTGTACACGAAGTGTAATAAACGCCGTGCAAAGAAAATAATTAGACTGTAATTTTTAAATTTAAAGTAATTTTAAGCTAAAGATTTTACAAAACTTACACTTTAATCCGATCATTGTAATGATCTTTTACAGTTTTTATCTACATAGGACTTGTCGTGTACACAAAGTGTAATAAACGCCTTGCACTTTTGTAAATTCGTAGGTCGCGCGTGCTGATTACACTTTAGTGTGCACTACAAGGTTGGTATGGAGCTGAATTTATTGACATCTTCAAGCATCCTATATTGTAACGTATCAATCTTAAGGTCTTCTGACGTGAATAATGCGGAGCCGCCTCATATTTCGATACGTGTTGTACGCACTCAATCTTGGTCACCATGCCCCCCCCCTACAAGTACCTATTTTGGACACGGGCGTATCCTTTTTCTCCTTGAGTACCTAGGAACCTTAACGGGGTCACTTTTGTGAGTTTAGTGACATACTTGTATTTCATATGGTCACACATGACTCTGTTACACCAAATTATCGTGTGCAACAATTCACGATTGGTAAATCTAGCGTAGCTAGATGCACATTAGTCTGCTACTACCAAAGTGTCGTCCGATGCATTCGCTTACAATGATTAGCCTACGACATCGCCGCTTTGGATGTACAGAGCAAAGACCATCACTAGTAGCACTGGCATAAATACTGGTGACACACGCTGTACATAATGGTGCGTAATTGATACACGCTAGCGACAAAGAGGTAAAGTTCAAAAGTTCTCATAGTATAGTCGTACAAAACTTACCCTTACACAATTGCTTCCCGGTTCAGCTTTTTCTACCAAGTTTTCTCTTCGAGAAGAAACTTACATCAAGCCCCCCGCACCAAAACGCGGCCGCGTCATCGTGATTAGGCTAAACACAAACAAATAAATTACTTTCGGAGATATTTGACTATGCATTGTTAGGAACCTACGAGACATGCACGGTGGACAACAGTCCGGAGGAAGGAGAACTCCCGCCAAAACTGTCTCATTTAAGTATTAAAGTTTTGCGGCGGCAGTGCGTGCAACTGGCCATGGTCTTGTGGACATCTTTAAGTTATGTCCTGTAAGAAGAATTGGGCGAGCGAGCATAAAAGTCAATATAATTGTGGCTTTCACTATGTCAAACCTTAAAACTATGGTGGAAGTCGTAGCCTAAAAGCATCCACCGAGTAACTAAGCTTTGAGCAATTATCTGCAATTGAGGGCCTACTCTCTATTCTACTGGCGTCAGTAAACACCTAGGATATGAACTTTGGCTCATGGCACGTGTCAACAAGAGGGATGAATGTTCTTTAAGTAGCCTCATCGCCTCCGATACAGCGTGCGCATCTTTTCCGAGCCTTAATAGATGATTCTTTTTATTCAGGAATAAAGAAATGTTCATGATGGACATGCAACACAACTAACGAGATCGGCAGGTCTCATTTAATAATAATTTAGTCATCCGAGCGATCAATTATGTTTTACTCATGCATGATCAGGATGAGAGATCATGTAGCTACGAGACAAGCGGACGGCATTGCACTTGTAACGGGTAAGCCTGTTGTTTGTAATTAATCTCGATACTTAATATCAGAACATTATCATATAGGTTGGCAATGTTCGTGAACACCTAAGTAAGGGGTAATATTCAGAAAGACGCACCGATTGGCTGATACGGGCCATCTTATCAGCCAGCTCTAGCAGTCTAATCAACGATCCACGCGCACGATGAGTTGTGAGCAAGACTCCAGCATACTCTTCTGAGGATGAGTATAGTTAAGTTAGGACCAAAATATAGGATGATGATTAGGATTTAATTATATCAAATACAGTCTTACTTTCTACTCCAAACAAACGCGTCAATCACTAGCTACCTTCCTATGCACGTACAGTGTACGTTAAGTGATGCGCGGCACTACCCAGACTGTTTTCAGTGTAGTTGCACTAGTACTAAAGCTGTACTATTGAACAGTGTCCCGATATACCCAGTAGCACTTCGTAGTCCGTCATAGGACGGCAAATCTAGCATGAACATGTTAAATAATGATAGTGAACGCTGTCACACCACGCTTTAAGAGCTACTCCTATTTAAGTGAAATTGAATGGAGTGCTGTAGAACGAAGGGGTTCGACTGTGACCGATCAAGCCGTATCAATCATGCTGTCCGCATTGTAACAATATGGTAAGCATACCGCCGTTGCCAAGATCATGCAACAAGAAGCATACAAGTCACGGGAGAAAGCAATCTTGCTTCACCGTCAAAGTTCTTAGCAGTCACATGCTTCTGTTCCCGGTCCGACACACTCGCGTCGACCCAAAACATAAAGATGGACATCTTAAAGTACTAAGGAGTCTACTATACTTCCTGCTAAGACTCTTTGTCGAGTTGAACGACGCCATAAGGGCTCGTCACATCGTCAACGAGTAATGCAAGTTGGACTTGCTTAGTCGAAACTGGCTTGACCTGCCGAAGCCTGGGCACTAGGGCTCGAGTTGCACAACCATGTGTGTTAAAGGCGTTGAAGGCATTCTAGAATCGGCTCAGAAAAACGTTTAAACCACCAATGCATGTTTCAAGGCTCGATCAAAGCTCCTATTAACTCGCGCAGAATGAGCGTGATGTGCACACTTACGTTTAACACACACGACTTTTTGCGAGTTGTATCACGGCCAACATGGAGCATAAACGCACATTAATTGAAGTGTCCATGAAGGATCATTTTAATGGTCGCGTCAAGAATTAACTGTTCCGCTCGGAACTGGATACGCGAAAAAAAGCTATTTAGAGATAGACCAGGAAGACTATAGCTTGAGACAGGCTCCTGCGAGTTTGGTTCATATCGTCTTACAAGACGACCAGAAGTCGGAGGCTTAGAACCTATGGACATCTGTGATGTTTAGAATAACAGACCTTGCCCTTTACCCAACTATCGATTTCAGAAGTGAATCGCCGTTAGAAGTTGTGACACTACGCTTACAAGTGTAGCTTTCAACTCCCAGTGGCCTAAAAATCACAAAACGTCTGTACGACATATTTGCCAATAAGGTCCAACGGACGCGTCATTTAACGTTTGTGCAAAATTGCAATAGCGTAGCGGACCGTCAAACGGTCTATATTAGCAGTGGCAGATCTCCCTCCTGATCCATCAACCCCAATAAATTTTTAATCACTTTATGAAAATTGCTTTAGACTCTGTATAATTGTGTGTCTCTCTGGTTTTTGTGTGAGTTACTCCCATCAGCTTAGAGTATAGTTGACGAAAGATTTGTGACTTCTTGCCTTAGTATGCAGACTTTGGGGAATCGAGAAATTATGTTTTTGTTCGTCTCTGGAGGCATTAGGCTTAATTCTTTATAGCGCGATACCCATCCGACTAAATGATGGTGCTCCTATCATCAGGCGCATCGATTACATTGATGAAATGTGTCGTGGTACTTTACTACACGCTAAGGGTTTTGATGCACGATGACTATTTCACTGTACTTCTTAATATGACAGGTTTGATGTCATCCTTGGTCTGCCTTAGTCCATAAAGTACGTCCCAGGGGCCAGCTGGCAGAATCGAATTGTAAAGACGCCTGCCATTTAAAGATTAGAGGCCATCTGAGTAATGTCTTGGAGCGTGTACAAGCGTGTGAATGTACTGCGAGTGAGTGCGATGGTATCAGTTGCACTACAGTTTATTAGTACGTCTGCCCAGGATCACAGCATGTTGCATAATCACACTGTCGTGGGAGCTAGCGGCGGCTGTGCAAATTTACAGGCAGCGCCGAAGGGACACCACTAGAAGAAGTCAAGTAGATCGATACATGGTTGTACGCCTATCTGGCGACATCCAATGTAAAATAAAACGGTTGACCGCACTGAGCAACACGATATTCCTGGATCGGCTGGAGAGTAGATAGTAGATAGTCTAGCTGTGGTAGCGCAACAACAGCTAGAAGACGTCGAAGAAATAAGTCCCCATGTATAGGCGCAAATAACACCTTAAGCAGTTATTGATGAGGTAACAAGACTTCATCATCCTGAGAAAATTAGTCCCTAGCAGCCTGAGGAAAAGGATCCCATACAAAACGAGACATATCATGTCATTGTGCATGACGGATCACGTGTGGGCGCTTATCCACTTTATCTGGTTACTCCTTCAAAGTCCGCTCGTGAGGTTATCAAGTTGCTAACGCTAAAATCTTAAATACTCTTGCGAGATCTGCGTTGTGACAAGATCAAGCAGGTCTGCGTACTCGTCACAGAGGACGATTACGTGACCAACATTCGGTTGGCACAAGTGTTTAATGCGAACGAACGGGTTCTCACAAGCTCATCGATAGACGGAAGTGTCCTCAATGAGAAGACCCAGATTGAACGATACGCTCATCAATCTTGGGAGTCGGTGCCGGCAAGTACTTTGCATAAGGATTTGGTTGAATTGAGGGATGTTTTCCCTGAATCCGTACCATGCGAGTTGCCGAAGGACAAAGGCACTCGACATGAAATTGAACCGAAACCCGGATCGAAGTACTTTGCCATGAAGCATTGGCCACTGCCTCGTGAAAAAGTACTAGCGATCGACCTATTCTTGACGATCGCTTAGCTGCTGGTCATGTGAGGGAACCAACATTCCCTCGCAGCTCTCCGACCTTCTGTTGGAGAAAAGCCACAGGATGGTGGTGGATGGTGCACGCGTTCAACAAATTGAACGCTGCAACGGTACCGGCTCAGACACCGATACCGAGGAAGGACGTAATCATAGAGGGCATGGAAAAAGTATCATCTTCTCATCCATGGATCTGATGGACGTTTTCTATCAGATTCTCATGCGTGAACGGGACATCACGTACACAGCATTGAGCACCCCGAGTGGTATGCTCTGGGAGTGGCTAGTGATGCCACAAGATCAGATTAACGCCCCCGCAACGTTCAACATATGTGTTACAAATCTGTTGCGATCAGTGCGTGATTTCGCACCGAGTTACTTTGACGATTTCTTCGTCCGTAGCCGGGCTATGGATGGAAAGCCGGACGTGTAGGTTCACAGAATCCACGTTTGGAAGGTTCTTACACCTATGCGTGAGCACAAGTTGTTCGCGAACCTCAAGAAGTGTATTTTCGCAACGAATGGAATACCACTTCTTGGCTGCATCGTGGGTAAAAACGGCGTACGCCCTGATCCAGAAAAGATCAAGGCGATCACCGACTGGCCTGTGCCAGCGAAGTCAAGGGAATTCGAAAGTTCCTTGGCTTAGCGGCAAAATTACATAATTACTCGTGCAACTACGCCGAGATGACCGTACATCTCTCTCGTCTGTTAACGAAAAAAGAGAGGCGGCTACGGAGAGCTGAGTGTCAGCGTTCCCTTGAAAGTATCAAGAAAATCTTGATACAGTCGCCTGTGTTGGGTATTGCAGACGAAGACAGACCATTCCACTTGGTCTGTGACGCCAGCGATTTTGCAATCGGCTGCGCGTTAGTGCAGTACGACTCAGACGGCGTTGAGCCTTACTAAAGTTGTATGAAAAGGATCTACCTGCCATAAAATACGCACTGGCTAAGTTTCGGGTCTATTCTTAGGAGATAGGCCCTTCATCGTTTATACCAACCATGCGTCATTACACACGACAGTAAACAGTCTACACCTCTCGCAAAGAATGGCGAGGTGGCTGTCTGTCTTCGCGGAGCATAACTTCTCCGTCGAGCATAATCACGAACGACTTAATGTCGTCTCTAATGCTCCTTCGCGTCGGCCCAATTTCGAGCCGACTGCTCCACCTAATAGTAGGGTTGATCCCACTGTTGCATCAAATCTACTCGACGACGCGCGGAAAGCCTACGCAGAAAATGAGTCTCTTCTGCGATTGATGGATTACTTATCTAATACATGCAGTCAAGCTTTGATAATCTTGACGTCTCAATACCGCTCTTCAACCGAACGGTCTTTCGGTTCGTGATGGTATGCTGTTCGACACAGCAGTCAATGGCGACACACGTCGTGTCATCATTCCCGCTCATAATGATTTGCGATTGCGCATCATGTATGAGTGTCACGATGCCCCAACAAGTGGGCATCGTGGAGGAGGAGAAAAGACTTACCTTACGGTAAGTCGTGACTTCTACTGGCCACGCCAGTATGAGTTTCTGCGCAAATACATCCGTGCTTGCGAAGTTTGCCAATGGGTGAAGCAGGGTCTTTCATCCCGTGCACCCTTGCAGCCTCTACCGATTCCGGTAGAGTACTAGCAGTCCGTATCGATGTACTTCTTCGTTGGGAAATCTAGAGACGCTCACAAGAATACTGGTATTCTTGTGTTTGTTGATCGGTTCAGCAAGATGGCACCATTTGTTGCTATACCGGAGTCAATTGCAGCCCAGGGCTGTGCGCGTGTCTTCATCGACACTATCTTCCAACTCCACGGGTTACCCCGTGAACTCGTGTCCGATAGGGACCCCCGCTTCACAGCGAAGTTTTGGTAATCCGTGTTCCGTTCACTCGGAACACGTTTGAAGATGTCGACTTCTGACCATCCAGAAACCGATGGTCAGACGGAATGCGTCAATAGAGTCCTCGAAGAGATATTCGAGGGTTTGTCCACTCGTTTACAAGCTGGAGTACATTATTGCCGATGGCGGAATTTGCCATTAACAACTCAGTGCGTGCGTCGATAACGCATACACCGTTCTTCCTGAATGGTCTACGCCATCCACGCTTACTCGCCTTATTTGAGCATGAATCTAGTTTAAGGGGGAAGTGGACTCGCTCGAACACAAACCGATCTGGTTCTTGCTCATCGCACGTCGACTATTGTGTCGGCGTGATGGATGCTGATTCCAATCACATCAATATCGATAATGATGATGACGACGATGACAATACATCCAGCATCGCCAATGACTGCCACAGTGAGGACGATGACGCCCTTACTGGTGAAGCCAACGTTCTTTCATCAGTGCACACGAAGCGCACTGCTGTTAACAAGGATGAACCAGCAGAGTGATGTCTGATGACTCGCAAAGCGGTTGTCCGCATCGTTCAAGACTCTGTTGGAGATGCACTAGACAGACAGAAGAGAAACGCAGACAAAAATGGAAGAGCAATGTTCTTTCTTTTAATGAAGGGAACTTAGTTTTACTGTCTACAGTGAACTTGCCGAACACGCAGTGACAAACGTGGACAGCAGTAAATTATTGCCCAAGTACATCGGTCCTTTTCGTGTGTTGCGCCGAATGGGCAACACATACACGATTGAACTGCCCCGTGAGATGAGTACGCATCCTACGTTTTACGTCGGTCGTCTCCGCCCGTACTGTCAGTACGTGCCCGTTTCGAGATGCGAAGAACACCTCCGCGGTCGAGAGCCGAGACCACCTTCGAGTGGTCCCGCTTCAACGAGCCAGTCTGGTCGACTAGAGAAGCGACCTGTTCACGCAGTTCAGGGATGCTTCGACGGGATACAGCCAACTCGTCACGAAGAGAACGAGTTGAACGTTCGTTCTCAAGTTGCGCGAACACAGAAACGGCACGATGGTCCAAACATTCGTGCTTTAGGGAATTGTAATTTTTCCTTACAAGATCCCCAAGCCCATAACGCCGAATCAGTTTGTGATCCAGATCATCCGAAAACTGTTCCGTTACACGGTTCAGCTCTTGAACATCAAGCTGATTTGACCCTCGAGCCGGATCAGGTGTTCCCGCCGCCACCACATTCTTTGGTGGACTCAAGCGGTGGTCAACGCTTGCTGGAGAAGCGTATTTTGAGCCACCGCGATGTGAATGGCGTCCGGACGAGCTACCTCTTCCGCTGGAGTGGCTATCCACCGGCGTGAGACAGCTGGGAGCCTCGTGCCTGGCTGATTGTTGCTGTCCTTGGTCTTGTCGAGCAGTACGACGAGACCCACCCGATATGTTTGAAGAAGGGCCGTCGGAAAAACATCTCCCGAACGCGAGTACAGGGATTGCAAAGTGTCAATCCCTTGGGCCATTTCTGAATAGATGCCTGCCCTCCAGTAGAGAGAACTAAGGAGATAGGCCTCCCTAGAGGCACGATTCGCATTGTCCAGGAAACCTGGACACGGATCACCCTACGAGAGACAGAATAACTCTGCCTCTCTTGACATTCGGTACAACTCGTACCGTACACCGGCTGGGTTTCATTTCTCAAGCATGAAGCTAGATGCATCAAGTTTAATGAGCCAGGCCTCACGGCCGATGCACTCGATGTTATAGATGAAGGCATTCCATTCTTGCACCAAGGACTTACAGTCTCGGCTACGGTTGCTATGTACCACCGATGATTAAATAACGCATCGATGTGGAACTCTTCCTCAGCACGGATAGTTTCCCTGCTGGAATAAGGAAAAAATCCCCTACAGTCGAAAAATAGGAATTTGATCCCGCTCGGTGGTCATACCGGCCACTCAATCCAACTCCTTGAATGATGTCATCCAAGAAGACTCTACTTGAGGAGCACGGCCAAGTACATTGCAATCCCTAGTTTATTAGGCGGTTTCAGCATGATCATTTACACCAGTAACGGCTCGATGCCTCGAGTTGCTTCTCTAGTGGTGACGCATTAGTGCTTCACCACCTTGATCACGCGTCCTATTGTCAGATAGACTTGCTTAAGACGAGAATTTGTCAGACGAATTGCTCGTTAAAAAATTTAAACGCAGCACCCCATGTTCCCCAGATCCAGTCAACCTGCTTTGGCATTGTCCACCCTGAGTAATCCGGCGGTAGAAAGCGCCTCCTTTCATTCGGATGCATCATACTAATTCCAGAATAGATGAGCTCTCTTTTATGCTCATCCGCTGCAGATGCAGCAGATGCATTTGTCGCACGTAATTACTCACCACAAAAAATGATTGCAACAGGCACTGCCTGTTGCTTACTTGCAACATCAGGCAAGAAATCACATGCTGCTAAGGAAAGAAAAGTACTCTCTTTGGCTGCACGCATGCGTAAAACCGCCTTAATGGCTACTTCGGCAGCGTACCACATGGAGTTTGACATCATGCGATAAATTGGCAAATGAGTTGAAATTTGATTAAACCGTTCTCTCCTTACCAGAGTGATCCAACGGTAATCACTTTATCCCAATTAGTGAAAAATTGATTAACGAATGATAAATGGATAAGGGGGTGATGCAACGGGGTAGCCTGTAACATAACATTGACACCAAACGGTGTTAGCAGGGAGACTGTCAAGCGTGACAGTTCCCCGCCAATATTACCCGAGTTGGGTAATATTGGAGGAATAGTATCCCTTTTTTGAATGATTTTCATGCGCTGCCCTGAAGATTAGTTGATAAAAGACATGTCAATCAGGATTACCACCAATCGCTGCTAGACACGCGTAATGGGTGGTGAGCAGGTTGTCGTCCTACGACAATGTAGATCAATATACTCAGATAAAGACTGAAGTTGTATTGATAGCTTAACTATATTATATAAAATACAGTTCTCGTTTAACCTTTACGTAAACGAGTCGTTTAAGTAGATTAGCTTCCTCTGCACGTACGAGCGAACGTGAAGTTTCGTGGCACCCGAGCAAGGATTAACTCGTTGTAAGCAAGCACTAAAGCTCATCCTCTTACTTCGAGCCATTAGAAACTATTCGCGAAGTGAACACCGATTATGCTTCGTCTACGTTCTGTCTGTTTTTTTGGTATGTATGTATGATGCGAGGTGCACCTTACACGTCGTACCAAGTGCGATGCAGCCTACCCCTTCTTTTAGTTAGATGAATACATTTCTTATGCGTCACCCTCGGGTAGGTTACTAGTTGCGACCGCATTTAGAGTATGTGTGATCAAGTTTTTTGGAATTTACCCCAGCATTCTTTCTCGCCTCGCGTAGAGCCACTTACATTCTGTTCCTCCTTTATATGCTACTATTTGCTTTCTTTACTTCCGAGAACGAGGTAAGGGCTGTAACAGGCCACTGGTCACCAGTAGTGCTTCAGAACTAGAGCGCATACGCTGACAACAGTTTAGGTAGTACCTCGCGTCACTTCACGTACACCGTATGTTCAGAAAAAGGCTAGCTAATGATTGACGCGTTTGTTTAGAGTAGACTATAAAACTGTATTAATGTATTCGAGTCCTTAATACATGTTCCTATGATTTATTCCTAACAAATCATATCTATATACAGAAGGGCATGCTGGGGTCTTGCTCACCACTCATTGCGCGCATCCATCGTTGGTTGGACCGCTAGAGCTGGCTTTTGCGATGTATCTTATTAGCCGATCGGCGAGTGTTTAGCGATATTACCTCTTACGGAAATATTTACGAATATTATCGACCATTATGATAGTATCTTAATTAACAAGTATCGATATTGATTACATGTAACAGGTTTACTCGTATCGTCACCAATCCTTTAGTGATCTTCACTCAGTCACTTTTAAATTGATGTGGTCACCTCTAGACCACACAAGGGACAGGGATCACTTGTCTAGTATGATTCACTCATATTTGGATTTCATCGCATGGTAACCAACTCCATTCGATGCGCGGCGAAAGCCGCTGATAAGAAGGTTGCGCGTGTTAATGCAGCTGCTCTCAACGAATCCCAGCATCTCGCGGCAGACTATGCTACGTCTGCTGCTACTGCAATTCTTCCTAAAGCACTAGTTGCCTCAAGTGCACGTGTTGCGTCACCATGCGCAATGATGATGATGGGAAGCAGATACAACTCATCCATTTTAGGGATTTAACGGTGGTTTTAACTCGAAGTAGATGCCTAATTCGCCCGAGTCTTAGAGAGCGACCGAATACAGGCCTAGGAAAATGACTTGAGCAGGAAGTCAGGCTCACGGTCACTACAAGAGCCTGTTTAGTTAAAAGGATGATTCTTTTTACTTATCCCATGCGCCTGCTACTGCGCATTCGCTACTTGGAGAATGCGGTGATGTTTTGCAACGTCGTGATGACGACTGTAGTATTACCAAAACTTCTACTGGTAACGCGTAGGAGGCTCTAAACGACAAAATGCTGCTTCTGGACCATTACAACAAGCCTTCGATTCTACCAGGAAGGACTGTGAATGACTTATCAGTCGAGAAAACTCTCCTTTATCCAATTCAGCTATCCGTTGCGAGGCTGTTTTACATCCTCGACATAAGCGCGAGCACCGTTTGCAGTGAAGAGGACTTATTTTGATGCTTTTCTCAAGTATCTTTGGTATAGCGGCAACAACAGGCAAGACAAAGGATGTTGTTGCAGGCGCGAAAATGTTTTCATATTTAATGTGCAACACATTGGGCGTGATGTATGGCTTTAAAAACTTGACAGAGCTTGTGTCTGTTTCAAAAACAAACCTGAACTGATGCAAAAGTCAGGTTCCACAATCTGTCTCTTGAGGCAAGAATCCTATTTCTCTCGTGGTGCGACTCATTTCTGCGTTGTTTCGACAACGAGCTACGTAATTAAGGGATGTGTAAAACTTTATCCGCCCTGGGGGAAGGCGCACACCTCTTCTGAGATGCGCGATGCGATGTCTGACCTGCAATCGCTCTACCAGTGCCATGAGCGCGTGTTTTAGGATAGCGTTTTTAATATAAAGGACGTGTCTCGTCATACTGGTAGACGAGTTCCTCAACGTTAACCCTCGACTGTGCGTGAGGACCCCGGCTGTCGTGAAACGGCGGATAGACGCGCCAGCGAACAAGATAAGGCTTTCACTGCTCACTTACGTCACGGTACTTCTAGATACGCTGTACATGACAGCATAGACCACCGTGCGTGTCCACCAATGGCTGAAGTGGGGGGGGGTATGAAGATCAATTCCTATATGTTTTGGTGTCGCAGACGGAGCAAGATCGAGTTCAGCTACGTTTACGCTACCATTGCGATTGCACCGATCATGAAAGACAGGAGCGTCTTTATTCGGATGCGTGGGTGCAAAGCTTTTGCTGTAATCGGTCTGATGACCGAGCGGAGTTAACTTTTCACCACTGTAGAACGATCAGAAAGGCATCAAGCCTTTTTCTACGAAATTTTTGACACCCATCGCCAAAATGCGGTACTACGGATCCAGATTAATAAACTTGCTTGGGATCAAAAGAGATTATCAGATATTCTAGAGCGTGGCGAGTGCATTCGCCCAAAGAAGAGATAATGTGCTGATAGTACGAGTGAAGACGGTCGACATTAACCTTAGGATGCGGCCGCTACCTGCGAGGAAACTCGATGGTGCGCACATTGCTTTAACGGTGTCGTACACAAAACGGAGCGATGTTCTAATGTATTCGTTTAATACTACCCGTACAATTTACTTCGTGCTTGGCTAGGGTAACCGTAGACAGTAGATCTAAGTCTCCAATATGAAATTGAAGAACGTTTGCTCTTCCAATTTTGTCAGCGTTCCGTTTCTACCGGTCCACCGCGTGAGCGATGGAGTCTTGCACAAAACCAAGCATCTCGAGTCAACAGATAGGTCTTTACTGACCGTTGTGTACACTCCCACTGTTCTAAGTTCAACATTCAATTCTCTGCTAGCTCTGTAGTGTGTGAGCCAGTGCGCTTACTGCGCACTGCTAAGATCTATCTCTATTCTTTCGCGAGGGTGATAATATTCTTAATGGCATATTTATTAACGATTCTGAATATACTAGCATCGTCGTCCTCATCTGGTTCAGAAAAATTGTTATCACTATTGCTGATGTTGTCTTCTCCGATGTCGATCAATTCGATGTCGAATTGATCGACATCGGCAACGTTTGCGGTGACGATTACTTCGACACGTGATGAGCGAAAGCTGTAACGGTTTAAGCTTATGCAAACAAAATTCATATTACAATCAGAGTCACATTCTAAATGTGT